GGCGCGCACGCGCACCCGGCAGCGGCGCGCGGGCCGGGCCGCCCCGCTGCCGGCGCGGAGCTGGGGAACAAAGGCCGCCGGGCTCCAGGGGGAAGCGGCGCGGCTGGAGCCCACCCCACCCCGTGCTTTCACACCCGTTTCCCGGGCCCGGGGAGAGGCCGTCCCCTTACCTGCGCCGCCGCCGAGCCCCGCCGGGGTCCCTCGGCTCCCCCTCGGCCCCGAGAGGCAGCGAGGCCGGGGCGGCGCCGAGTCCTAGGGCAGGGAAGAGGCCGCGGGCCCGGCCCTCGCCCTCCTGCGCCCGGTGAGTCGGGGCGGCGGCCCCTTCCAGGCTCCCGGGAGCGCTCCGGGCCCTGAAAGCGAGTTTTTTGGCACACCAGCATCGGCGGGGTCACGGGGGGCTGTCACAAGGGCTATTAATGCTACTGTAAGAACCGAAAAGAGCCCTCGGAGGTGGCCAGCGCCGTCCAGCACAGGAGCATTCCGGTGATTTGAAGGGGCTGCTAACACCAAACCCCTCCTCCCGCCTCTCCCTCTCGAAAGGCTTCGCATAGCTCAGGTTAGGCCCCAGTCCAGCAATGCCCTAAATACAGACGTAACTTTCAGCACATGAACTGGATGAAATTAATGTAATTACTGGTGTGCTTACATGTGCTTTGTTGGATTGGGACCCTATTCGTCTACTGAAGCTATTCAGAGGTTTGCCAGAGGAGAGCCACTGTTTGTTTTATTTCCAGTAAAATATTTAAAAATATGTATTTGCTATCTTATTTCAATTTTTGAATGACTGAAGCATTTTCTTGGCTAGTTTAACTGGTTATCCAGATGGTTCTCAGTATCCTCCTCATTCCTTTTGATGACCAGAAAGCACTTCTTTTTGTGTAACATTTTTATGTTGAATCTGCCAAGTCTGCTCTTATTCAGAGATTTTGGGGATTAGTTTTAAGGCAGCTTCTCAAAAATACATCGCTGTAGCGATGCCGTACAATGTGTACCAAACCCACTATTTAAGAATCCTCCCAAGTCTAGGTGATATCAATTATTTATCATCAAAGGATGACAGCTACAGGAGTGGAACTTCTTTTGCACATAATTTTTTCCCTGCACATCTATGCAGTGGTTATTGAGCCTTTTCCTTTAAGTATTCATGAGGAGCGATACACATGGCACTGATTGCCAACCCATGGTTGGGTTGACTTATTGAATACTGAAGGAAATACGTTATGATTAAGTATTATTTTTTGTCCTGGATAAGAAGGACACATTCCTGAAGCAACATGTTATCAATATTAGAGGGGTTTTTTTCCACCTTTGATTTTGGTACAGAGTAGGGGCAATCATTTGATGTATTTTTGAACATATGGAAGTCTATTCAGTAGTGGTAACTTCAAAAAAGGTAGTCTCCTATAGAGAACAAGGAAAAAAAGCTTCTCTAATAGTAGCAGTTAGTATTTTTAGATATGAGAACCAAAATGCTTATCAGTTCCAGTAGTCTGTGTGGTTTCTTACAAAGTATCTCTGTGGTTAAGGCTTTGATCCTGCAAACACACACTAACTTTTTGTTAAAAGTTAGTTGAGGGAGTCTCACAGTCCTGTACCCAATCAGTGCATTGCTTGGGGGTCACTATTACTAATCATTTGCCTTTCACTGAATAGAAACTAATTCCTTGAGCAGTGAAAGTAGTTAGAGCTAGTTTCTAATGGATTTTCCTCCTCTCTCTCTCCTCACCACAGGAACCTTCCACTTCACTCCCCTGTTCCTGCTAACCTCCCCTCTGGAAGACCTCCAGCTTGCCCGCATGCCTTACCTAACCCTTTGTAGCACCCCAGCAGGCTCATGGCTCTGCCCCAGAGGGAGCACCCAACACAGCTGCTTCCCAGCTGCGTGCGTACACCCACTGCTCCATCACCCAGTTCACATCTCCCAGCTCTCCATCTGGCAGAGCAAAGACTTCACGCTTCCCTCTTCCCTCAATAGGGCCATTTATCTCAGTTTTCCTCCGTTATCCGTCTCATTCCTGCCTCAAACTGGGGTGAAATTAGCCCATGGGTTCAAAAGTTAGTAGAGAGGGCTGTCTGGAATAGACCCCATAGCTAGGTCACACGAGCTTCGTTACTGTAGGAAATGAAGTAAAACAGTCTCAAAGCGACATTAAGAGGTCATCTAATCCCTCTTCCTGCTCCAAGGTAGAATCAGCTATGCCTTCGTTATTTCTGGCAGATGTTTGTCTAAAACAGCTCATAAAAATCCTTCTGCAGTAGAAATTTTTAAACCATCCTCTGAAACCTATTCTAGTGTTTGTCCATGTCATCGCATTGTTTCTCCCCATGACTGATAACCTAAACCTCCCATTATAGTTTTAGCCCATTCTTGAAACACTTCAGTGAACACAAAAACTTTTTTTTTTTTCCTTCTCTGTTTTTGAAGTCTTTAATCTTCAGTAAATTACATCAGTTCCTTTCCACCTTTCACCACTACAAGGCCTCTGATCATTCTTTTCTCTCTGTGTACTCTGCAACTGCTCCTTTTATTCTATTTTGACTATAATTCTGGGAACTGGACACAGCACTCCAACTGAGGCCCTTTTAAATGCTGAGTAATAAAGGCTGACTCTATGGGGATGCCATTAAATTAGCAGTATCAGTCAATAGAATTATTGCAAACTGAAATTTACTTGTTTTAACATCAAGTTTTACTAATTATTAATTTATTGACCTTACTTTTGTACGCATTGTACCTACTGTCGCTATAGAAGCATATAATACCACTGTGGTTGGTAAAGTTACGTATGTATGTAGTTCTGGAGTTTAATGGGATTACTGTGTTTCCTCACTAGACAATAATAATGTCTGTAAGGATTTGGTTTCATATTAAGATGTAACAAAATACATTTTTTTTCCTCCTCTAAACTTTACACAGTATTCTTGTTCCTAAAATTACTATTATTTCATAGTCATTGAGTAAAAGGGATGAACTAGTTCACACTCTTTATGCAATGCTCTAATATTTTACAACACATATTATTATAGCTTACATGAGTTTTTAAGTGAAAAATCATTAGTGATATTTTATGTCTCTCTCACATTCTTTGTTTCAAGAATGGGGAAAGTATTAGCAACACAAGGCAGCATTCTCTTCAGATGTAGAAACATCATTACCAATAAGTAAACTGGATCATCAAAATTTTGTGGATGGATCTGCTTTCTTGGGCAGAATTGCTGCTTCTGCTCATTCATAGTACCACTTGTTCCTGGCAGCTGAGCACTTACCTCCTCAGCACAGCACCCAAACATTCACTAATTTCTAAGCTTGTCTGTAGCAACACTAAAGCTAGCAAAAATACACACGCTTAAGTGAATTTTCTACTTACAGCATTTTAAGGTCTCTAAAAGTAATGAAGAATTCATTTTTACGCAGTTGTGAGTATCCTATTCCAAACACTTTTTTGTATCAAGATGAGAACTTTAAGCCCTTAAGAAAAATGCATGCCTAGTGTCCAACAAAACACACTTATTTTGAGACTTGGCTAAACAAAATACCTGAAGGTTACAGAGCACCTTAATTGCAAATTAGTGATTACAGAAATTACAAAAGGACACCTAAAATAATTGTTCCTCAAAGTACTCAACACAGTATGAGTTTAAAAGAAAAAAGCTATTCTTTGTCTGAAAAAACCCGATAAATTATATTTACCAAAATACAAATAAAATATTTTAAACCTTATTTTTTCTAGCCAGTTAATATCTTCCCCATACATATTAGCACTTTGGATGCATTACTAATGATTTTTGCTGTCCAAAATTTCCCAGTATCATGGAAAGAAGGACAACAAACTCTCAAAGTTTGTTTCAGCCAGCCAGGAGGACGCTTCAAGACAATAATACTGATTAAGATGTAAGATCAGTTGCTGATCTTGTCATCCTTTTTTTTTAATTTATACTCTTCACTGGCTAGGCTGCTAAACATCTGTTTTCCCAAACACTTTATTTAGGGACTTTCTGACAGCAAGAAAGTGAAAGAATAGCACAACTATTTAAGGCATTTAATTAAAAAAATAATCTTATATTTTCAGCTGTTTCATATTTTTGGACCACGCATTTTGCATAGTAATAAAATTCTGAACTAATAAGAACTCAACAAGAAAGCAATTTTGGGATATGCTGAAGACCTTCTTATACAAACTGCTGAACTAAACCTAGTTTCTAAGGAAGTAATGAGATTCTCTGAAATGCGTGTGGTATCCCACTCTCAACCTGCAAAGCCTCATACATATACAGGATTGCTGACTCCACTTATTTTATTGATAAATACTTTACATAACAAAAGGCTTGGGGATTTTTTCCTGCAAAGCTACCTCTAACATCTGCAGCATTCAAGTGATTCCCTCAAATTGGTTTTCCACTAAAAAAGTGAACAAAAAACCCCTTCAAAAGTAAAAACTAAAGTTTCAGAAGTCAAATAAATAGAGTTCAAAACTTAATATTTAAAATAATAAATATTTCATTTTGAAGCTAACATTACATTAGACTGGTTGGATTTGATGGTCCTGATGTACCAGTTGACTTCATTGGATATACTCATGGAAACTATATGTTATAGTCTATTATTAATTATAGTTCAGCTGTGTACTAAGTCTTCAAATGCTTAAGAGATAGGCAGTCTGAAAAAATACCAGGTTGATATTCTGTATTTAATAATTATCATAATTGACTAATTTAACTGATCTTGGTTATTTTATAGAGAAACATTTTCCAATTTTGTTTTTGAACTTCATATATTTGATTTATTTACCACTTACGTCCTTTTTAAAGGTTTATAAGATGCTGAAACTGAAAGAAGAGGCATAAGAGGTTTTATAGAAATATTAGGAAGAAGGATTTTTAGTTTAGCGATGGACACAGAGTTAGGGAGACAAACCAAAAGAATCTTTTTAAAGTGAAAAAGATAGTAAATTACTTGAAAAAGTTATTCCGGGTGGGAAAAGATGCCTTGTTACCCCTTAAATCATATAAAAATATTAAAGTATATTACAGAAGCACTACAGATTTTAGGCAATACCAAATCTACTAACTTGTCAGAAGCTCTATATAAGTTAAGACTTGCCTTCTTCCCCAGCTTCATCCCTCCTGAGAACGGCCAGCATCTTGACATCCTGTAGACATCCTAGCACACAGGAATCATAGGATTAGGTTGAACATATTTTGTCTTTATGTAGCAATTAGCTAGAAAATACATTTTAATAATCTATCAACCAGTTGTAGGCTATTCAGCAAATCTGATAGGTCATGGACCTCCACAGAAATATTTATGATCAGCATATTTCTAGACAATAATTACCTCACAGTTTTAGGAGGGAAGCAAGCAGCTGTCTGCCAATGTGGGTGAAGTAATTAATCTAAGTTCTATTTCAGAACAACAAGCTCTGATTTTCAAGACAGAATCGGTACACTATTAGCA